ATTAATTAAGTCATATTTAATCAAATAAATTGCATGTGTTAATGTATTAAATAAAATTAATACATAATTAAATTAAATTTTATTTAATTTTATCATTCATTCTACTAATAATATTCTATGTGTGTCTATGTAGGTTCTCGTGACTTTGAAAATAATATTAAATCTCATATTTAATATTATAATAGTGATCACTATCTAAAATGTGCACTACAAAAATTAGTGCAAACTTCCACCCAAGAATCTTGAGGTAAAAGATGAATTAAATATTTTTTTCATCTCAGGAGGAGATGATGCATTGATATGTTCATTGGAGGATAAGGAAGATTCTTAGGTGTTAGACTTTGTAGCATCCTTTCACGCTACTTCAAAAAAATATTTTTTAAGAATTATGTTTCAAGAAACCTCGATAAAGTTTACCTTGGTAATAAAAAATACTATGAGATTGTTGAAAAAGGAAGAGTAAATATGTTTAATGGATATGTATGGGAATTGAAAAGATGTCAAACATATTCTTGACCTGACAAAGAACTTAATCTCTATAGTCTAGTTGTCCAGTGACGGTTACACAAAAGTCTTTCATAAAGATGATTTGAAGATTTCAAAGGGTGCAATAATGATTGCTCGCGGTAGAAAGAGCGGTACTCTATACAAGACATCTAGAGCATGCCATTTGATTGCAGTTGTGATAAATGAAAGTCTTAATCTATAACATAAAAGATAAGGAAATATGAGTGAGAAAGTTATGAAACTTGTGAAAATTATGCACTCAAAATGAAAACTACCAAGTCTTTGGTCAATAGATATACACATATGTGAACATTGTATATTTGGAAAACAAAAAAGAGTAAGCTTTCAAACAAGTGGAAGAACCCTAAAGAAAGAGAGATTTGAGCATATTCACTTTAATGTTTGGGGCCTAACAACAGTATCATCCATGGGTGGGAATCACTAGTTTGTGACTTTCATTGATGTCTACTCTAGGAAGTTATGGCTATACTTTATAAAACATAAGCTTTCAAGAGATGGAAAGCCATGGTGGAAAATAAGATAAGATTGAAGATAAAAAAAGGTTCATAACCAACAATGGTGGTGAATATGAATACAAGTAGAAGTATCCAATAAACAGTTGAAACAAATTTCAGGGTTGATACATCCAAGAAAGATTGATCTAAAAGTTATATGATGATCTCTAGCTGTATATAGTATATTTCTTGACAGAGGTTGTTTCCAAGTAAGTTAAAGTCTAGATTGTAACACTCAACTTTCCCATAATAATAATTATAATAAAATATATTGAATAATACATCAGAGTGCAGAAATGGAATGTCACATCATTCAAATAAGCTCATAAACTCTTAAGTCACTTTATTATTTCATTTATTCATAGTAATCAACTAAGAAGCGGAACAACTTAAATTAATTTACTTCATGGCGCTGAGGCCTCAACAATAATAAAAATTCCAAAAAAAAAAATGGTTCAACATAATCATGAATTAAGATATATAACAATTAAAAACAATGCAAAAACATAGTAAATTCCCAAATCTCGTGTTACGTATCAGAGCGACTCCTAATACTCGA